AAGGATTCTGTAAGGGGTGTGTGTGTGTGTGTGTGTGTGTGTGTGTGTGTGTGTGTGTGTGTGTGTACAAAGAACAAAAGAGAATGTCAAATTCCCTGGGAGCTGGAGTTTCAAGCAGTGTGAGCCACCTGAAGTGGGTGCTGAGAATACTGCAATCCTCTTAAAGAGCAGCAAGCGCTCTTAACCTCTAAGACATCTTCCTAGATCCTTTATTGTATTAATTTTTACAAAGGATTACACATCATTATTCTGACTAGAACATTATAGTTCTTTTTAGGATGAATGGAAGCATGCCTACTTAGGATTTATTTAAAGAAAAAAAAAACCTAAAAACATGGTTTAAAATATGGGCCATCAGAACTCGTTTGTTAGAGACCCATTTTCTCAACATGAAATTCTGTAATTACTTTCTACAAGTGGCATTGAGTCTCATTCCAATTTTCAGTGTTTGTAGCTGAACAAGAATAAAATATGTGTACAGACCAGGATTCTGTTGTTGCCCTCTAAGGGAGCCTCAACTCATAACTGTCTGTCTTTCCATTGGTTCCATTATATCCTAGAGTAAAGGATACACCTCAGAACACAAACTCACAAATCCCCCAAATAAATTCCCAGCCACTATCACTCTGCATCCTGCCAATTTTCTACTCCAAGTTCAAGTGTAGTCATAGATTTAAATTCTTATTAGGCTTTGTTCCAAGACAAGACATAACTCTTTTAACTCTCAGCTAGTTGAAGTTATTTATGTTCACGTGAACTTCCGGCATTTTATCTTCTAAATGGAGCCCAGAAAGTTTTGTTGCTTATGGGTGGAGGAGTTTCAGTTCGTGGCTGGGGAGGGGCACTGCTAAGGGATGTAATTTCTTTAATGTTTAGTTTTTCATATGCTTCTGGAGCCTGCTGTTTACTGTAATCATCCTACTCACTCATCTCTTCAGCAGTTCCTAGAACAAGCTACAGGTTCCTTCATCTCCCTTTCACTTTGCAAGAAATACTTATTCCCTTTGCTTACAATTCCTCTTTCCATCCATGTCTTTTCACTCTCTCAATTTACCCAAAACATTGTGACAAATGGATGCTGTTTAATCCCAGCCTCCTTTTCTGGCCATGTTTGTTACCCTCCCCCTGCCCCCAGTTAGAGATCTGTCTCGGGTGCTTTCATGGATCTCGGGGCACATATCCACCAGAGCGTGGTCCTTCTGTGATGTTGTTAGCAGTTTACTCTTGCTGTTGATGGGAACAAGCTTCAAGGCAAATGTTCCTTAAGATGTATCCACATATTCATTTAACCGTGTGACAGCAGTCATGAGATACTTCCTGAGTGACATGAATGAGTGCTAGCAGATGCCAGCACAACTTGGGAAACATAAGTGAATCCTACATTAGAATTTAGAAATGACCCATCATTTTGGTTCAACAGCTGTGATTGTTTTACATTCACCCAAATTATGTGATTCTTCCAGAAAAAAAAAATGACTCCAGACTAAGGCACATTTTTTCCAGAATTCAATCTCAGAAACAACTTTCTAAAAACTCTCCACTGTCCATGTTATTGCCTCTGTTACTGACGCTGAGTGCATACCTATTGGAATCATATTCATTACTGGAAGAATCAGCAGATCCTTTAATTACAGACCTCTTGCTTATTAGTGGCCTTTTTGCTATTTTGACCCTTGATTTAAAAGTCTTTGGAAAGAGCAGACTTCCTAGGGCAAAACTGAGTATTGGAGACATGTCAGATCATCTCCACAGTAATCACTATGTTCTTTTATCCTTATGCCCACAAAGAAGACATTTCAGATGGTTTTCTACACACTGACCATTAGTGCAGTAATATGCCTTAAAAAGGTAGCGGTATGCTCCGTTAAGAAAGAATTCATTTAAAATTCAGGTTTCTTTTCTGAAACTGGATAGTTCTCTTTAGTCACTTTGGAAATGTTTGTTACGAAAGCATCCTTTCGGTTGGCATATAACAATGGGCTACAACGTTGTTTGTCCATTTACCCATTGGAGAGCTCCAACGTGAGCTATAAATAGACATGAAGATTTGTCAGAAGTACTGTGGGTAAAAGTAAGACTGATTGGGGCTAGAGAGATGGCTTAGCAGTTAACGGCACTCATTGCTCTTACAGAGGACTGGGGTTTGAGTCACTGCACCCAGTCAGTGGCTCAAAACCATTCATAACTCCAGTTCCAGTGACTCCAATGACCTGTTCTCTCTGATCTCCACAGGCACCAGGCATGCACATGGTAACCAGACATACATGCAGGTTAAATATTCAGATATATAAAATAAAGTAAGTCCTTAAAATTAAAAACAAGAGTGATGATGGTGGTACTAGTGTTGATGGCAGGGATGGCGTTGTCACAGAGACCTTAACATCGGTGATGATTAGTAGTGATGGTAGGATTAGTAGCCAGTGGTACTGATAATGATTGTCCTTAGATGCTGGTAGTAATAATAATGATAGTGGTGCTTGTGGAGGTGGTGTTTCATTTTTGGAGTGTGACAGAAACTTTTAAAGACCAGTTATGCATGATCCAAAGGACCTAAGATGCCAGACACTGGCAGTCATCGAAGATCAAGGTGGGAAAGTGGTTCTAAGTTCATTGTATCACAATCAAGAAGATTAATAGTACAGTCTTTCCTGGGAGAATACAAAGCAGATGGCAGGCTTTACTAAAACTATTGCAAAAAAAAGTCAGCAATTGGGGAAAGTGAGAAATTAACTAGGAGAAATTCCCAAGAGTTGGAAGGGGTTTCCAGGAAAGAAAAAGATATAAAATTTGCTTCATCTGGGAGGTGTTATAAGTCCATGGCAGAAACTGGACAAAGGCTGAGGCAATCTCTACTGAGACTGGTTAATCCTCTGGACTATCATGGGTCAAGCCAATGAAGGGGCCACACACTCTTGCATCCAACTCAATGATGGTGCATTATTCATGAACCACCCATCCAGTTAGGGATAGGCAAAGCCCGCCCCCTCCATCTCTGATGCCAACTTTGACTGTCTGCTAGCTATGAGTCCCTTGGCTATCATTACTACCTTCTGAACTCGTAGCTATCTCAAGTGCTGTTAAGTGGGTGTTCTGTTCTGTTCTGTTCTTTATTTTTGAGACAGAGGTCTTACTATGTAGCACTGGCTGTAGCTTTACCCTGGCAGAGTTACCTCTATCACAGCCACCAAGACAAAGCTATGTTCTTTTCTTGTTACCTCATATTTAGCGCTTGTCTGTAGAGCAGTCTAGAATGTTTTCCTGGGAGGAGCTTCATGTTATAAGCCCTCTTTACTTACATTTTATTCTGTCACAAAATTAGCTATGTTAAAAGGAAAAACATATAAAGGAACAGTAGTGCTTAACATTGATTCTTTGAGGGTCTAGGATAAGAGGAGGGAGGTGATTGCTATCACTGGCCCAGAGCTCTGTCTCTCCTTTGCTCTACCTAGCTTGATTGTCTTAAACACAGCTATAGCCTTTGTATTCATCTTCTCCACTTATCCAGACTTTGATGCATTAACCCCTAATCTTGTTTTCAATGCCAGCCTGTTGTCACTGCAACCTTTGTGAGCAACGTGCAGTTTTCATCATGGTCCCTTTGCCCTAGCTGCCTGCAGAAAGCTAGCTCCTGTCTCAGGATGGGACAGTGATGGCTGTGGGTCGGTGGCTGCCTTGGGTGATGATGCTATCAATTGTAGTATCTAATAGTGGTGGTTGTGGTGGGGGTTGATCTGTTGCCATTGTTTTTAATCTGGCAGTGGTTGTACCCTTGGTGTGTGTCGTTTTCAGAAACCAGCACAAAACTGAAAGGGTGACTTCTTCACAGGGTTCGGAAACTCCTCTCTAGGACTAGAAAATGAACTATCAATGAAGACCATGGTTTCATTTATACCTGGGCATTGTGGCATCCAGAAATGTGCCTTGAGCCTCTTAGAGTTGCTTCCCCCTGAGTGCTACTTGTCATCTGTCCCTCTCTCCTAACGGTTCTTTGCTCCCTCCCATTCACCTGTTGTATTAACTATGTCTAAAACACTAACTACCATTCCCCTGAAAAGCCTCCCTGATGTCTTTCCACTATGCAAGATTTTATCCAAGCTGTTAAATATTTGCTCATCTATCTCACTAGTAAGGAAAAAAATCCTTGAAGGCAGACAAAGACCTGCGTCTTTTATATTTGTCTCCCCACCATCTGCTCCAGAGCTTGAAAGAAATGTTTCTTGATACCTACGCGGGATAGAGTGAACTTTTCTGCGAAGTGACAAGCTTGTCAGCAAAGGATCAAGTTTTTTCATCTTTGTGATTTCCATTCTGTTCTCCTTTCAGTGTCGTTTGGTAGCATAGTAGTGGTCAGGGGGAAAGAAATGCAAAAATCAAGACTCTTCCCTTGGTCCACAAAACAGCACTAAACAGGTAGAGTTACTGATATTCTGGGGATTCTTCCACTCCTGAGAGTCAGTGGCTTTGTGTCACTGAGTAGAATTTGTACAGAAGAAATCTTGATGTGGGGCTATCAAGCTTCCATGACACCTATATGAGGATTAGAATTAAGACAGCGCCTGAGCCTTGGTTTTTTCTAGTGCTCTCTTAAAAAGTATATGGCTATTACTATCTCATGCCCATCTCAAACATTTTCTATGCACAGTGAGGTATTTACCAGAACAACCTTCCTGCCACTGGCAGAATTAATAGTAGATAGATTATTTTTTTATTGTGGGACTCACCTCCTCTCCAACCATAGCAGATATGGTCACTTTGGGAGAGACAGTCGCTCTGGAAAACAGCACCTGCAAAGGCATGGTTTGGCCCAGAGAGTAACATTTGACAATTTCCAGAAGAGTCACATGACCTGAGCTTTAGGCCAGATCAATTCCATCACACCTTTGCTTGGAGATGTTCTGAAAACAAAAACACAGTCAATTCCTGGGGTCATCACAACCTCTTTGATGTAGATTCTCACCCATCAAGGACATGGCAGTGGAACCAGACATCAAAACAACTGGTCTTTATTACTGTTTGCTTGCTCTCCCTGACACAGCCTGCTGAAAGGGAAGCGGGGCAGGAATAATTTCCAAGCTGGGATCAGCTCTCCTGAGGAGCCTGTGGTTTTGTGAGTCTAAAAACAGTGCAGCCGTTTCCAATACTACTTTGTCCAGCAGTGTTCATAGGGTCCCTTGCTCCCAAAGCAGCGTCTAAAAGCCATTCCTTCCAGAGAGCCAGTTCAAGCGGCAGCCAAGAGTCAACCTTGATAAATACGATTTTAATAAGTGCTAGAAAATCAGGACATTGCAGGCTCTTGGCTTTTGTGATTTTTATCATACTGAGTTCCCTACAGAGAGCTGAAGAGGAGCCAGTAACATGTCATCCTTTCCATCACGGTCCTACACCAAGTCAGTGTGGAAGGGACATTTTCCTCCAGGTACTACTGTATATCAAATGTATCCACTTCTTGGGGAAAAAGATGAAATTAATTTGAAACTGAAGAGAGAAGTCTGTGGCAACACTGGCAGAGGGTGAGGTTCAAAAGCCGGCCCAGAGGTACTCCAAATCCACCATAAGGGAAACATCTGACAGAGAAAAATGTGCACTGGCAATTTGTTTGATTGTAATTTCAATGAAAAATTGAAAGCATACGTCCATGGGATTAGGCTCCTCTCATCCAGCACAAGTAGATCCCCGTTAACAAATGTGGATGTGTTAGCATCCCCCTGCACTTCCACTTTCAAGTCACTTGTGATCAGTACAGCATCGGCTTCTGGTGCCTTGGCACGGAAGAAACCTCATCATGGTGGCATGGGTAGTAGAACTGGGTCTCCCTCTGCCGAGGACTGAAATGGTGGCAAAAGTGAACACATGCCTTGCAGATCCAACGTTAATGAGAGGGATAAATAAGTCCAAAGATTTTTCCCTTCCTGGGTGACATTAAGACTCTCTCAAAGGGGCAGCAGAGGGACATAATTTGTCCAGTAAAGTGGAACAGTACTGGATGAAGGGAAGGCACGCTCATTTATTTTCCCTGAGAGCTGTATGTCTTTATTGCTGTCATTCACAGAAGAACGCTACAAGGAAAATGGCCATGTCTGTGGTTTGCAAAGAACAAATGTTCAGCAAGGAACAGCAATGCATTAGAACCCAAGGGGTCCTTTGCAGTGTGTTTGCAAAGAATACCAGACCTGTTTACAGGGCATAAATATCCCAAGGCATCAGTCAGCACAGTGATAATGAATGTGTTTAAAGAGCAGTATATGGAGAATACAGCTGACAATTTGGCAATGTGGGGTGGAAGAAGGAACTGTCCATTTTTATTGACTCACTTTATCAGGACTGCTGTCTTTCCAAGCAGTCTGTGGTCATCCACAGAAACTCAAGATATTAACCTCTTGTGACAAGGTGTTTCATAGGGAAAAAACCAATACTTGGGACAGACAAGTGGTCTCTTCCAATGGAGTTATTTCACCATATGACAAAGTGAATAGCTAGAAAGCATTTGCTAGAGACCCAGCTGATAGGGGAAGGATTATGCACTTCAGAATTCAGCTCTTTTTGAAATGTCCCCAGCCCAAGAAACTTGTTACAGGCTGTGATGAAACCCATTTTCCCCATGTAGCTCCAACCATAGGGTTTGATATTACCCTACCATACCTGTACTTATTTAATTTCCAGGTTGCAGGAGCCATGCCTGGTATGGGACATATCTTCAGTTAACTGAGTCAAACAAAATACTTTTTAAAAATAAGATCTGCTTGTACACACTTTAAGATAGCTTGTAAATTCAGAGTCCAAGAGGCCTATCAGTGTGAACACAAACAAGACCTGGCATCCAACTTGTCTGGTTCAAATTCTCAGAAAAGCTACTTGCCCGTGGTCTTGCAGTCCCCAGCTCAGGCTTGAGCTGCACACAGCCCATTGTGGTGGTGGTGTACTCAGGTAGGATTTGCTGAAGGAGGCAGAGGCAGAAGGATTCTGAGTTTAAGGGCAGCCTGGGAGACTGGCTGAGGAGAAGCTGTGGCTGGGAGAAGGCCACAAAGGGTGGCAGCAGGACCATGGAGGTGGCTCTGTGTTGCCGGCTATTTCTCATCATGGTGGTGGCAGTGACGCTGCTGCTGGGGATGAAGGGTTTACCTCTGCTTGTTCAGAGAACAATTGCCAGGACCGTCGTGTTACAAGAGTTTGAGGAAACAGGGTCAGCTGAGAGGTTGGTAAGGTGAGATTAGCTGTGGCTTGTTCTGCTTCTCTGGTCTTTCAGCGTTCACCCCAATACCTGGCTCCTGAGTATTTTAATTTTTTTTTTTTTGTAGTCTGAGATTTATTCTTTTTTTTAACTTAAAAAAAAAAAAGGATTTCTTTCATTTTCTATACGAATCCCAGTTTCCTCTCCTTCCCTTCTCCTGCCCCCCACCTCATTCACTCCTATAGAGGGTAAGGCCTCCCTTGGGGAGTCAACAAAGTCTGGCATTAGAATTATAATTCATTCATCCTAATTAAGACATAAAAGACTGTCTATATCCCTATGTAAGACTCAGTCTTCAGTTACTTTTACTAAGCAATTCATGGACATGACACAAAACCTAAAACAGTTAGTGTTTCCCCAGGTTACCCTTATTGTTAATGATTATTGAAAGAAGTCAGCATGATGTGGAAAAGCTCTCTACTGAAATATTTATATATTAGTCACTAGTTATACATTTACTGTATATTTGTTTAATTATTATATTTTTATATATACTTACAATACAATTTTTTCTAATTCTCTTTTGAGTGATGATGCCAAGCACCTCAACTCCCACAATGCTTTTCCTTTCACAAACGTGCAATGGCCTACAACTCTGTGGCGTTCAACAGGATGGCCCAATAGTAAGCAATAACAGGGCGTGTAGTTCAGTTATCATCTGTTTTAAATAGGTCATGGCAGGTTAGTGTGTAAAATATATAATTAACATATTTGGAATGGCCATACCACCCTGAACATGCCCGATCTTGTCTGAGTTTTTTATTAATAAGATCATTTAAGATTCGTGTTACACACTTTGCTGGGGTTTTAGATGTTCCCTTAACGCTAACTCCAGCTCCACCAATGTCAGTCCACTCCTGACTTGACTTCATGCTCTTTTTGCTTCAGTGGGTAGCCTAATGTCTTGAAGTTGTCAATCAATTTCTAATAAGACAAAATTACTATGAGCAATGACTTTAAGAGGAATAGTTCCAATGATTCCAACAGGCTCCATGTAGCATTCTGTACCTATCATGAAAACCAGAAGTAAATCGCCTCATATTTCCGAATGTACAAAAGTTAAATTACATGACCAAAACCCCACTCATTTCTCACTGTCTCATGCTAATTTGTTCAGGAATAGCTCCTCACAGGACTCTTCTTCCATGTCCTTTGGGTCCCAGCACACAAACCTTGGTAGGAGACAGCTTCTTTATAAATGGAGTGAAGAAACCTGCCTCTCCTCTAAAAATAGCTATTACAGCTGTACTGGATTATGACATTCCTTAGATGCAAAATAAATAAACAATAAATGAATGAAAGCTTGATTATTTTAGTTAATTGAAACTGAAAGAGAAGAGCTAAAATCAAAGTTTTCTCTGCCTTTCCTTGTATTAAATGGCAAAGTGAAAACATTGAAATAACCAGAAATTCAGACGATCTGTGTTCTTAAAATGCTAGCCTTGCATCTGCAGTACTGGCATTCACTACCACCATCACCATAGCCAGGGGCCCAGCTCCAAGTGTGAATTCAGCAGGGTCTCCAGACCTACTGAAGTAGAAACAGTGTGCTGCAGCCAAGCCAGCTGGGTCTTACTAAGCCTCCAAGTGATTCTGAAGCCTCTATACAGAACCAGAACGATATAGAACATGGGCTACGCACAGGGGAAAAAAAAATGACTACTGGATGGAGAAGTTTCTAGAAAATGGCAATAATGAAAAGACAGAGGAATGTCAAATAGATAATATGTGAAACTGTGATCCTTAAATATGGATCAAAGTTCATCTGTAAAACCAGGGCCTTATTGCCCTCAGTATTTTTAAAATTTTACTTATATCTTTCATGATAATTTAGGAAAGTCTTGCTAAAAGCTTTGTTTTTATGTTATCTGAACAAAAGGGGTAGCTTTTTAAAAAAAACTCCAAAAAGGGGCATATACTTTATGAAGTATTCTTTTAGAATCATTTTTGTATAAGGATACTTGAACTATATAAATAATATATATGATAAATTATTACAAAGTATTACAAAATTCTCTAAGTAAACTTTAATTTTTAATCAGTAAATTAAAATGTTCACCTCCATTTAACTTAATGCCTCATGGTTTCTTTGAACTGCCTTAATAAACTTTTTTTGCATATTAAAAATTCATTGAATGAAATTATAGGCAAAAGTGAGCCTGGTGAGTCTTATTTTGGCTTGTGTTAACACGGGGAGGTATTGTTAAAGAAAATCTTGGACTTTCTGTGTTTGCTTAGCAATTTCTCAATCAAAGTAGATATGCTCTGAGAGCCATTTCGAAACATCTCTGTCCTTCCAACATGTCAAAGGGCCAGGATAATGTAGCCTCTGAAAACAGGAGACATTTGGAGAGCTGTAAACAGAACAGCTTCCTAAATACTCAGGCGACCTTAAGCCACAGACAGATCATCACACTCAGTTTGCCAAACAACAAAGGCCTGAAGAGACAAACATGGCTGGGAAATTGGTTCTTCTGATGAACTTTTGCGTGATTCCCCTCTGAATACAGTGAAATATAAGAGGCCTGAGAGAGTCGATGAGGACCCATTAAACTTTTTACAACACTTTGTTCCCCCAAGAACCTGGTTATCTAAAATATGCAGCATGCAGTCTGGTCGATTCTGCCTCAATGCTAGCCCAACTTCTAGAGGAAATATTGCTCCCTAACCCATTTTGCTGTGGCAGAATTTGATGAAATGTCCTATTTAAAGGTGACATGCTGGAGAAGGTTAATTCCTTCCAAACAACTTAAGAGTTCTCTGAAATCCTGGCTTTGTAATCCATGCTGTTGAATTTTACAGGGAAGAGAAACATTTACTTCAGGAGAAAATCCAAAATAAAGAGACTTGGGAAATAGGACTTGCTTGAGTCTGCAGGGACGTCAGGGGACTTCCCATTTGCCGAGAATGTACTTTCTTAAGTAGTCACATATGGTTTGCATCTGTTAATCTCTTGGGCACCCTATATCTTCAGTATTTCACTGCTTAGAGAATTTTCCATTGGTTTTAATTGCAGAAGAAAAACACTTCTCTGAAGTGACAACTTTTGAGTTGTGAGCCTTTACTAAGGGAGATAACTTTATGATTGTCTCATATAACAGTAACATCTTTACAGTTAGTGCTAGTTGTTTTGCCTCATTCATTTCTTCAATGAATACATATTGTGCATCTACTAGGCCAGACAATAGATTCCTCTTCTGAATTCTCTAGCTGATTTTCATTGCTTTTTTTTTCCAGTGGTGGATGTTTAACACAGTTATCTACCAGTAAGTGATATCCCTACCTTTACTGCATATTAGATATTCACTCTATGTGTTGATATTCCTGTAACTATCAGAAGGTTTCACAGAAATTTCTATTTTAAATATTACTGTTTACTTAAGTGACCTATGTGGAAATAACACAAGATTAAGTGCTCTTTTTTCACAGAATGAAACAAGTGTGTTAACCTATATAGTTCTGGGTTTCCCCCTAAGTGAAGAACATTGTTTGACTGGGAGGCCACTAAGTTCAGTTCTATGCAGCCCCTTTTAGAACACAGCAGCATGGTGACTGTCATGACGTGGTTTGGATCTCTGTGATCAATGGCAACCATTCTCCTGACAGTTCCTTTGCAGTATTTTTATTTTAGCATCATGATAGACAGGAGGCATAGCCATAGATTAAGATAGTATTCTCATCATAAATGATGACAACTACTTTTTCTCTGTTCAGTGTCAGCTCAGCATCTTACCTGAAGGTTAGCTGTTCTGTGCTCTGACTGTCAGATTAGCACAGTCTGGCTGAAACCATGGCTTGCTCTGGCTATCATCTGAAAAGCCAGTTAGGAAATCTGGATCCTGGACATGGACACTGGGGCCTTCTGATCCACAGGGAGGTATCAAATTCTATGTGGATCAAGACCTAAACCCATTCCCAGTGTAGTCAGGTTTCTCTGTTATTATGATGCTATAATGGATAGTAGCTGCCTTGGTGCTATGTACCTCAAGGCAGAAGTGTAGAATGGCCAGAGTGGTCCTAAGGGAGAAAACTTTTGAGGTCCTCCCAAATGCAGAATTCAAGGCTGCGCCATCCCCACCCTGGCTCTGCACAGCTGCTTGCAGCCTGCTTATCCTGCTCTGAACATTTCTTCATATATAAAGTCAGCTGCACTTGGATTTGTAGGGCCACAGGGAAATTGAGAAGGGGACAGAAGGTGAGAGAGAGGAAAACAAGGGTTTTCATGTCCAGTGTTCTCCAGGGGCTGTCATCAGAACAAATGGGAGATTTCTTACAGTACAGTATACAGACAACTCTCTGTGTTTTTCAAGAGGAGAGAAATGATCCTGAACACACTGCAGAGTGCCTGAAGCATCTTGAAATTGGGCCTCTGACAGGCCAAAACCCTACAGAGATCAGTCCATCTCCCCCCAATCTTCACAGTTCCCTTCATCCTGGGAGCCTTTCCAGTCTCTGCTCTTCTTCTCCCACTAACCCCCCATTTCTCATTTCCTTCTTGATACACAGTGTATCTGTGTGTCTGCCTGGGCTTCTGTCTCTGCAGCTTTGTAGCTCTGTGGATCTCGCCCGTCTGATTTTCTGACAATCTTTTGTCTCGGACCTCCTTTCAGTGTCTCTTGTTTCAACAATTGTGTGTTATGTCCTCCAATATATTGGGCACCTTAATAAACTTATCTGGGGTCAGAGAACAGAACAGCCACTAGATAGACATAGAGGCCAGAAAATGGTGGCACACACACCTTTAATCCTGGCATTCTGGAGGCAGAGATCCATCCAATGAATTCAAAACCACACTAGAAACAGCCAAGCATGGTGACACACTCCTTTAATCACAGGAAGTGATGGCAGGAAGTAGAAAATGTATGTAAGGCATGAAAACCAGGAACTAGGGACTGATTAAGCTTTTAGGCTTCTCGCAGCAATTCAGCTGAGACCCATTCGGGTGAGGACACAGAGGCTTCCAGTTTGAGGAAACAGAATAAGCTGAGGAATTGGTGAGGTAAGGAAGCTGTGACTTGTTCTGCTTCTCTGATCTTCCAGCATTTACCCCAATACCTGGCTTTTGGGTTTGATTTTATTAATAAGACCTTTTAAGATTCATACTACTGTGGTGGTATTGTGTTCCCCAAAATATTGTGTACCCTAATAAACTTATCTTGGGTCAGAGACAGAACAGCCACAATATTAAACATAAAGGATAAGCAGTGGTAGCACACACCTTTAATCCTAGCATTCCAGAGGCAGAAATCCATGTGTTCCAGGATACAGCCAAGCATGGTGACTCACGCCTTTAATCCCAGGGAGTGATGGCAGAAAGCAGAAAGGTATATAAGGCGTGAGGATCAGAAACTGGAAGCTTTTAGCTGGTTAAGCTTCAGGCTTTTGAGCAGCAGTTCAGCTAAGATTCATTCTGGATGAGGACTCAGAGGCTTCCAGTCTGAGGAAACAGAATCAGCTGAGGAAATGGCGAGGTGAGGTAGCTGTGGCTTGTTCTGCTTCTCTGATCTTCCAGCATTCACCCCAATATCTGGCTTTGGGGTTTGATTTTATTAATAAGACCTTCTAAGATTCATACTACATGTGTGCATTTATCCTGTTTGATAAATTACCCATGTTTGATCCAGTAGGAAACAAAGCAAACTTGACAAAGTTAATGTTTCTCAAAACCGATTAAACACCAAGACCAATTCTGCCATCAAAAGCCACTATCTATACAAATGTATACTAAAAAGAAAACGTAGATAGAAAAATTCATAAGTCCAACTGTGCTTTTGTGGTAGAGCATTTACACAGCTGGGTGGAAAAGATTGATAGCACTATTAATTTGAAAAAAATCTAATATGGGAAGTACATTGGATTAAACTCTGGGACATAGATTATGAGTGGATTTGGATATGAACTCAGCCACTATAACTTTACAGTCAGAAAAGACAGAAGGTAAACACAAAACCCATACAAATACATAGTCATAAATTATAACAATTACAATGAATAAAAAGAAATCGATTCTAAGAATGAAAATTGTTGCACAAATGCTAAATTGGTATAAAATAAAAATTTGGAGCCAGAAATCAGGGTGAAAGCTGAAAGATCAGAAAAGTAGAACAAGCCGTAGCTACCACCTCTTACCTCACCAGCTCCTCAGCCTGCAAGAGCCCAAGTTCCTGTCTCCTCCCACCTTATACTCGTTCCTCTGCCCAGCCATATCACTCCCTGTCTCAACCTTCCTAGTGCTGGGATTAAAGGTGTCTACCACTACTTCCTGGCTCTGTTTCTTGTAGACTGGATTACTCTCGTATAGCCCAGTATGGCCTTGAACTCACAGAAATCCAGAAGGATCTCTGCTTCTGCCTCCCAAGTGCTAGGATTGATTAAAGGTGTGTGCCACCATTGCCTGACCTCTATGACTAACTCTGTGGCTGACTCTGTCCTCAGATCTTCAAATAAGCTTCATTTCTTAGATTACAAATATATCACCACAGAGAACAACTGAAGGAGCCCCCATTTAAGCGTTGGTAAGAAGTGAGCGAGGGAATCATCATCTGATGGCTAAACTATGAAGGAGAGGTCAGAGGGCTAGGAAGCTTTTAGAAGAGAGAATGGCCTAACCAAAGGTTAGAACAAGTTTAGGCTTACACAGCCATTAAGACTTTAGAATATCTTGGTGTCTGTTGATTTACTTGTATTCACGGGTTCAACCCTTGGTCCCTAATGGGTGGCACTGCTTCAGGACATCAAAGACTCTTTGCAATGTGTGGCCTAGCTAACAGAAGTGAGTCACTAGCATCCAGCTTTGAAGGTTTTGTCTGCTTCTAGTGCCAGCCAAATGGTCTGCTTCCTGACCCACCAAGAGTTGAACAAACCACATACAAGCTTCTGCCACTGTGCCTTCCCACCATGATGCACTGGTGTCCTCTGAAATCATGAGCTGAATTATGTCCTTCTTCCTCCCTCAACTAGCTTCTGTCACCTATTCTACCAATGGCAATACGTGTAACTAAAACATAGTGCAGATATATAATTAAGATGATATGATAACGAATGAAAGAATGCAAAACAAAAGAAAGCAGAGGCTGTAAAATTGCCTACCTGGAAGAAATGCCAAGATCCCCAGTTTCACAGTGGAAAACAAATTAATTTACCTGAACATTATCTTCCAACTCTCAGGAAGGCTGGGATGAGAACCATCATGTTGACTTTCCACCTTACACTTTCCTCTTCAGCTTTGTGTCCCTATTTGAGAAGCAGTCCACAAATACTATAGTATACTAGAAATATCACTGTTACTCTATAAAGTGTGCCAGACTTCCAAACCTGAGACAGATACTGCTGTGTATTAACAGTTTGATCCACTGTGAAATATTTTTGCTGTTTTTATTCAAGAACTAATAAAATCAAACAGGTGGTACTCTTTACATCAAAAGTTTAATTTTGTCCATATTAATAAATATTACATTTTACTTTTTTAATAATAACATAATATAGAAAAGAATATGTACTTTACAACTTTTCTTATATGTTCTACCTACATTTAATTTGGGTTTTCAGATCCACCCTCACCTTGTTTATCTATACGCTTGGTACAGAAGAGCACAGGTTCGTGGCTAAGACCTGATTCGGATAAACCATAACACTACATTACCTTCTAGCTTTGGGTTAGGTTTCACAGTTGAATAGGATGGAGGGAACATTGAACGTTTATCCCCTCGGGCTTACCCCTTGTAGCAGTCCCACAGGATAGCTGCACCCATACTGGCTATAATCTCATTTTAGGTTTCTAATTCCACAGACTATGAGCTTCCTGCCTCCAATGCCCCTTGTGCCAATGGTCACTCTTTATCCTAATGAAAGGTTAATATAGCTGAGTCCTTTTCAACTACTAATTTCAGACTTCCACATCATTATTTTGATTTCCTTATACTCTGGCCTCACCTTTGTAATAGTCTTGGTTTTGGTTTGGTTGTGATGGTGGTAATTGTTTTCAATTCTGCTCAAGTTTTTCTAACTTATACTTGCTACAAATTGCTTATATAATTCCCAAATGCCTTGCCCAGTAGTGAACAGGACAGACCACTGTGATGAAAGGCAGATATATAAGAGAAATTCAAATTATAGTTTATTAAATATGCATTTCACATAAATATGGAAGCACTCAAGTGTAGGGAGCCGCTATTCAAAGATGGCGCTGGCTTCCTGGTAGCCTAGCTGTAAACAACTCCATATTTGGCTATGATGCACGAGTATGGTAATTGGCCTTATGTCCTCAGCCTATCCCATGGCTCCCCGTGCTAGCATTCTGGCGGGACCCAATCACAGTACAGCATGTTTGCCTGATTCCCTTTATAAGCAGCGGCAGTTTAGTCCTCGGGGCCCCTCACCTCCCGCTCTCCCTTAATCAAGAGGCGCTCCAATCAAGTGTGATCTGAGAAGAATCCTCGCGTGGTGGTCGTTCTTCCTCGCTGGCCGAGGAGCGTGCCGCACTCAAGGAATGAGTATTTGTCAAACAAATGACTTTGAATTTTTGCTTTACATAAAATCACACACACAAAAAAATTAAATTTTTAGAGATGTAGCAAGACAAAGACTGAGTCGCTGGGGTTAGAGAAAACGTAGTTCATAGAGCTTGTTAATTCTGGTTCCTCTTGTATAACTTTGTGCAATCAGTCACCCTCAGTGACCAACTTTTGCACTCCATAGTAAAAAGGGCTGTAGGATATCTTCAGTCTTTGTAAGTTTATATCCTACTTTTATGCAAACCGAGGAAGGGTCCTACATGTGATTGTCCTTAACTGCCTTTTGTTTGACAGTCCTTCATCTTTGGAGAAGCACAACCTGGCCTCCCACAGTGCTCACGTGTACACATGAA